AATCAATAGATTAGGCTAATCGATTATTGTCCAAAATGGAAAGTTTAGATATAGAGTCGTTGCCAATATTTAAGAAAATGTTACAATCAATTATAAACTTAATTATCCATCATCTAATCGATAAAGTCAAATATCTAATCGACTAGACTATTGCAACAAAAGTCTCATAGTCAATTGAAGTATTTTCTAGTAAACTGTCTAGGCTCTAAAACCATTTTTTTTGGTGATTTTAATTAAAAATGAGATGTTTCTCAATGTTTAAAATGTACGTATTTGTGATTCAGCTATAATACTTCTAGAAATACCCTTGTGTCTTTACAATATACTGGTTATTCGGACGAACACGATCAAGTGAGCTTCCACACTTCTTCTCTTTCACACTCTAAAGCTTCATGTCTTCTTGATGAAGCTTGATATATTTCCATGTTAGTTACCACCATCTAAGATATTTAATGTTTAAACCACCAGTGATCATAAACCCTAAGTATTCACTTGAGAGTCATTAGACAACTCTATTGACTTAAAAAAACTTAATTCAGGATGATAGCTTGATCAACCATCTTGTCATGTTTGACGGCTTGTGTTAACTTCATCAATTGCTAGTCATAAAGTGTTATCATCGTCAAACCTAATTAGCTACAAATTAACTTGTATCTTACTATCCATAAACTTCACCATCTTGGATCACTTCTTGATCATACTTGCAAGCATATAGTTTCACATGAACTTCTTACAACTTCACGGGGAGCAGGCACATAACTAACTACGAGATCACATCTTATATCCTTATAAAAAAGAAGAGAATTGAATGAAGACTCAATAAAGAAAGTTTATCTATCAAGAGAACCACTATAAAACCTCTCTAACTAAGAACTATCAGACACATTTATAATGTCTAAAACTGAATAATCGTTAACTGGGCGGTGGGAATCTGAACTAGAAAACGTCTATGCTCTAACTAGGAGGAGGAATCATTCCCAGAATTTCTACACAAACTTATGAGATGTTCATTTATATCAGTTATGGAAAAGTAAATACTTGATAGTATAAAATAAGCTCAGGTAAGAAGGGAGTAGAACCTGACAAAGAAGGTGGAAATTAAATGCAGAATGGAAAAATTTGTTGTATAGAAGACAAATGCTCAAAGAAATGCTTCTGAGAAGGAAGGAAATTGCTATTGCAAAAAGAAATTAACTCTAAGGATTGGCGAAAGTTTTCCTAAAAAGTGAGCAATATACCAGATCAATGGGAAACAAAAAGTTACAAATCAACGACCAAATTTCACCTTAGAAATACAAGCGAACTCAAGTGCACTAGAATACCGCAGAGAAAAATGTCATGCCCTTACCTACACGATTAAAACCACGTGCCTGAAAAACTATCGAAACATTTCAATAATGGGAAAGACATTTAATGTGCTTGTTCCCATTACTTCTTTAAATGCTCAATGACCTTCCTACTTCTCACTATGGACGAAAATGATAGTCAGATGCTAGTCACGACTTCGAAAGACTTCTCGACTAGTAAACACTCGATAAGTAGGGGTGGCAAAGTGGACGGTCCGCCCCATTTAGGCCAACCCCGTTTAAGCCCGTCCAAAAGCGGGGCGGGCCAACTTAGGCTTTCGAGCTCAAAAGTCAAGTCCGTTTCGTTTACTAACGAGTTGGTGGGTTGGCAGGCTGGTCCACTAACTTTTTATTTTACAATTTGATTTACTACATAATTTACAAAAAGAATATTTATTACCAAAGAGGTCGACAAAAGATTTTTTAATAATGCATAATAGAACTTCAACATGTCTTAAGTCCAAACAGTTCAAAAAATAAAATAAATAAAGACCAATTACAAAAACAAAAATAACGAAATAAACTCAAGCACAATAAAAAAACGTATTAAAATAAATAAATAAATAAACAATACATATCATCCTAATCATATTTAAAAACTAACTACTAAAATAACCCAATTAAGAATTTACAAAAGACAAACAATGATAACAATTACACTTCATAAAACATCACAACGCATAAAATAGTAGTGCATAGAATATCAACACCTGACTTTCTCGCTGTTTACATCATATAGACTATTATATTGACTGATTCTTTAATAGTTTAATCTTAAATGTGTCACACATATACACTAATCAAATTTTTCCTTTACTTAAAATCAACATCTATTTCTAAGGGTCCATTTAGTTCAATGGAGAAGAGAGGAGGGGAGGGATTTTAATCAAGGTGAGGGGAGGTGAAGGGATGTATTTTAATTAAACGTATGTTTGGTTCATAAGAGGGGGAGAGAAGGGAGAAGTTTTATTCAAATATATATTTGGCTCACAGGGAAAGAGGAGGGGTTTTAAAACTAGTTTACTTTTTTACCCTTAAAATATTATAACACTCGTGTAAATAAATTTTAAAAAAATAGTATTCCCAAAAAGATGTGTTAATTCATAAAAAAACATAGATAATCAAACACAAAATATTTATCATTTAAAATACTCTAAAATATCTTTAAATGAAAATAAAATATTGATAAACGTTATAAAATCACATTATATGATCAATGATCATATGAACCTTTTTTTCATCTTGATGATCTATTTAATTCTATAACATATTTATAAAATTAAATTCTACATAATATATAACTCATACTACAATTATATATTGATATGTAATATAATACAACAACTCATAAAATAATTAGGTTATTACAAACAAAATATTATAAAAATGAATAAAATAAAACACGAAGAAAAAAAGTTGAATCATAATAATAAAAATAATGGAGTTGTCGTTAAACAAATGAAGGAATTATAATAAGGTGACAAAAATTAAGGTATAATATTAATAAAGACAATTAAAAATTTTATTAAACAAAAGTGAGGGTAATTTTGTCAATATAATAAAAATAGATGTTATCATAACTCCTCTCACTCCCATCCCCTCCGAAAATTCCCAATTTGAGAAGAACGAAAAAATGCTCCATGAGGAATTTTGATTATCTCAAATCCCTCCCCCTCCCCTCATAAAAAATTGAACTAAACACTTATTTTAAAATATTCCCTCCCCTTCAAAATAGGCAAGGCAAAAAAACCCGGACCCGTCTGGAAATTAGCGGAGAAAACCCGGTTTGAGTGGATACGGGTGCGGGGAAAACCAAACTTTTAATTACGGGTGCGGGTACGGGTGCGGGGAGACACTAAGACCCGCCCGTACCCGGCCCGGCTCCGCCCCAGAATAATGCATTTTCGTTTAATTCTCTTATTTTACTTATTTTAATATTCATTTATTAATTATATTTTTAATTAAATTATTAATACCTTTATTGCAATTAAAATAATTAAATTAATCAAATTAATATTTATTTATTAATTAAAATTTTAATTAAATAAATAATTAATTTATTAAAATAATCAATTTTTAAATTAAATTATTAATTTTTATTGCAATTAAAAAGAAATTAATTTTTTTCGGGTGGGGGCGGGGCGGGTGCGGGTGCACCCGTTCTCTACTGGGGGCGGGTCTGGGTGGTAAAGTTTTACCCCCGATTGGGTTTGGGGGTGGGGGCAGGTGTGTTACATGGAGGCGGATGCGGGTGCGGGTATAGTAAAACCCGCCCCGACCCGCCCCGTTGCCATCCCTACTCCAAAACCCCCAACCAAATGGACCCTAAAGAAAACATGTGAGTTAATGTTTGACAATTTAATAATTCAGCATGACATACAATTATTCTTTTATTTCAAGTTTTTCCAATCAACACATGTATAGAAAGTTATAGAAAGAACGTTACAATTTCAATTCAATTTGTTTGTATAATAATTTATAATACAATTCAATCAACATAATCTTAAGAAAAAGTGTTGTTTTTATATTTAAAGTTGTTTTAATTTTAAGTAAAAATTAAAAAATTTTAACAAAAAAATCCGCGGGCAAAACTCGCCCTGCCCCGTCTTGTTCCGCTTTTTCAAGCGGGTTAGGCGAGGCGGGTCAACTTAAAGTACCGAGCCGAAAACCTCAGCCCAACCCGTAAAAAATAGCGAGTCAAACGGGCCGACTATTTTGGATCGTCCAAAGGTCCAATGCAAGCGTCAACCATGTATGGTCCAATCAAAATTATTCAATGTTATATAGTCAGCACATGTGGGATTTAAAGTATACTTTTCTGATCCCCATCTTTCACTACACTCATCTTAAATTCTATAACTGATTTGAGTGTTCAAATGCGTTAACCTTACAGGTCCACGCTCCGCCACGACATCAGAGATCAACATTATACCGCTTTGAGAGTCCTACATCATTAATCAACACTTATTCTAATTTTTGTGTGAAATAATATTATTATATAATTATTCTTTTAAAGTTATTCTTAAATGCGAAACAAACGCTCTGCAATTTTACTCCCTAATAATTTATTTTAGAATTTTAGAATTGACTATAAAATTATTTCTTTTAATATCTTTTACTTCCTCTTGCATTAAACATAATAAAAAAAATACTCATATTTAGTCAAATTTAACCAAACACGTATTATATTTATGTTTATATTTAAAGTCATTTTCCCTTTTAAGTGTATCAAGAGATGAGAAATAAAAGTTGAACACTTCCATAATTATAAATATATTTTAAAAAATTTAAACACAAAATTCATATGTTAAATTAATTATCTATTTTTATAATAAATATCAAAATTGAAAAAGACATTTATAATAATATTATAATGAATAACAGACCAAGTATATAATAATGGAAACTTCTGTAAAGTAATCAATTATTTGGTTTTGGAAGTTGATAAGACAATAGGCTGTTTCCTTTGACTTCTGCTGTTTCATCTCTGAATAAAAATCTATTCAACCTTCCATTATTGTGTGACCTCTCTCTCTCTCTCTCTCTCTCTCTCTCTCTCTCTCTCTCTCTCTCTCTCTCTCTCTCTCTCTCTCTCTCTCTCTCTCTCTCTCTCTCTCTCTCTCTCTGCAGATTAAAGGAAGAAGAGAGAAAACTATGGGAAGAGCTCCATGCTGTGACAAAGCTAGTGTTAAGAAAGGTCCATGGTCTCCTGAAGAAGATGCAAAACTAAAGGATTACATAGAGAAAAATGGAACTGGTGGAAACTGGATTTCTCTCCCAAAAAAAGTTGGTAAGTACATGCAAATGATAATATATATATATTTATATATGAATGAATATTTACTTGGTTTTTATTGGATTTTTTTCATTAAGGTTTGACAAGGTGTGGCAAAAGCTGTAGACTAAGATGGCTTAATTATCTCAGACCAAACATTAAGCATGGTGAATTTTCTGACTCAGAAGATAAAGTAATTTGCACCCTCTTTTCTAGCATTGGAAGCAGGTACTTTCTTTCATCTTGATCTTGAATATTAGGGTTGAAACTTTAAACTATTGATAATGTAACCAAATTTTCACAAAGTGCAGGTGGTCAATAATAGCATCTAAGCTGCAAGGAAGAACTGACAATGATGTGAAGAACTATTGGAACACCAAGCTCAAGAAAAAGTTTCTGTCCATGAATCAGTCAGTGGAGATGAAATCTCAACAAGTTACCCTTTTATCCATTCTTCAAAACTCAACAATATCATCTCCATCATCATTATCATTCACAGGTTCCTTTTCCTACTCATCAGCAGCATCTTCAAGTCTTTTGAGTCGAAATTCCTTTACTTCACCACAAGAAAGTTTCACTGGTCCCTCTCAGAGGGATAGCAAAAGCCAGATCAACCATGTCATAGATCAAGAGCTTGTTGAAAAGTATGATAATGATAATGATGATGATGATGTAACTTTTGTAGAGCAGAATATTGGTGATATCAATTATCTCTATAATGGTGGAAGTGTTAATCAGTGGATAGAGAAAGAAAATGGATTATGGGGAGAAAATCCATTTGATGAAATTAAAGAGCTGATAAGCAGTAATAATACTAGTAGATGCAACAACTTTTTGTTTGATTAGTAAAAGACAGAGGAAAAAGTCATCAAGTTGTGATGAATGATGCTGACTATGTGGCTGAAATTGGACTGTGTTTCTTGTGTCTTTGTGATATTGGTTTTTAAGTATTGAATGAACATAACCACTTTCTTTGTTTCAATAGTGAATTTTACAAAGTTTTTATTCTCACCTATTTAAACATAGAAATGTCCTACGAAAAAAATAGGAAGAAAAATGTTAATTCTTTTAGCCCTTTAATTTCAAAAAAAGAAAAGTACATTGGTTCTTTAATTATTCAAAACTTACCATGTTAATTCTTTTTGACAAATTAATGATAAATTTAGTGATCAATTTTTGAATTTTTCTATCGTTAATTAAACGAAAAATGACTAACATAATATATTTTAAAGAGTTAAGAAAGTAATATACACATTTTTTATATTAAGCAACTAAAATAAATCTAAAAATAAACATATGAGAATATATATATATATATATATATATATATATATATATATATATATATATATATATATATATATATATATATATATATATATATATATATATATATATATATATATATATATATATATATATATATATATATATATATAACAAGTTAACAATTAGAATGACAGATCAAACATGTGAAGGATGACGATGGTGTTTGGTAGGACTTTTCATCGAAGGCCCTTGTGGAAGAAGGAATATTTTGTCATAAACTCTAGTAAAAGTGTGATCACCAAAGTACCTGCAAATACTTTGACACTCAAGTTAATGATGATGATAAGTTTGAGATTTTTAGGTTATAATAGTGTGTCACTGAAGTTAAAGCATTCATTAAGTTTTTATAATGAGGTTCTATAGTTATTCTAGGACAAATAACATATTGTTTGCTATAGAATTCTTGGAGGACATATGTTAGAGGATCCTAAAAGTCGTTATTATATAACGAATAACAAGCATTGATGATCCCTTATTAGGTGTGTCTTTAGAAAATGTTCAACTCTTGTGTCTCCCATCATATTAGAACATGAGCGACACAATTCTCTATATATAGTGTATTGGTTCAAATATGCCTATATGCTAGACGACCTGTTTCCTAGCTGCCTATTTATTGGGATGATTTTTCTTTGGACGGTTTATTTGTTGGGGTCTGATTAGCCATTTTCTCGCATGTTCGGCCTTGGCTCATATCGAATAAATGTTCCTCTAAGCCTTTAGTTGATACATTCAAGAGATGGTCTGAGTCTGAGGTTTTCTTGGGCATGTAGAGATTGATTAGAAATCCCTTGATGAGATTATTGTTAATTGAACTTATTGATTTAGCGTGACAATGTAGTTGACTTGTGAACATAGTCATCATGGTGTTTAACGAGTTTTTACACCTATATTAACATCTCAAAGGGTTCATAAACCTTTAAGGTTGTGCTTTGGAAAAAAATGCCTGGTGTTATTGATATCATAATGCCTCAGATAATAATTCATCAACCAAGATGAAAATGTCCTTTTCCCGCCATCAAAGTAGAATCCTCTTATCGAGGTGGAAATGGAGCCATTAACCATCGGCTAGTCAAGAAGTGGGCATATCAGGGATGGCCAATGTTCTCACTCCTCAAAACATGGGGTTTTGAATGGGGGAATATGGCTTGTTAGAGTTTATGAACAATCGTAAGAGCTTGTAGGGGAGTCCAAATTATTGGAACTAAGGACTAAGATTCTTATTCAAACAAAGGAGGAATACAACTTGCAGGGGCTTGTGACAGATATTCTCACTTAACCACATGTAAGAGCTTGGAGGGGGAATTCGACCTTCTATCATTGAGGGTCAATAATCTCAATCAACTAAGCATAAGAGCTTATAAGAGGAATCCAGGTCATTGGATGTGAGGGTCTGAAATTGAGGGTAGCAATTATCATTCAATTAAGTGTATGAGTTTGAAGAGGGGAATTCGAATTGCAATCATATATAACAAAAACAAGCACACATTCTAGATGAAAATTCATTAGAAAATTTATTAACTGACCAGGGAATTAAATTGTTTGGCGTTTTTGAATTGGCTAACTTGGTTGAATGTATATCTTGGTAGAGAAAATGGATCATTTTTATTTGTATAAGGGCATTAAGAAATGGTTTGCCTACCATTTCTTCTACAACAAAAACAAAAACAAAAGACAATAACATCAAAACTAGTGTTATTACTTTTAATTAGTTATTATTTAATTAATTCTAACTAGAATCTGTGGAGTGTTTTTATGGGATATAAAGTTTAAATACCTTCCTCATCAAAATAAAGAAGTTAAATAGTTAAATTTAGTTTTGTAAGTTGTTCAATATGCTTTTGTCTCAACGAAAGAGTTAAGTGAGGGAACTGACTCTACTATTATTTATGTTATTTTATCTACGAGATATTTGATATTACATGGTTTTATTAACCATTTAACTAGAAATCCTAAGCTATTTAATGATATGAATCTCACTTTGATGCATTTCCTACAGAGGAAGAACTATCAATATGAATGTGAGAATAAAATCTTCTTTCACATGTTCCATATTTTTTGATTTCTTACATTTCACTCGCTTTTGATTCGTTGTTTGAAGAGAATTATACTCCTTATGTTAAAAAAGTGTGACAATTTTTATTCTCCTTAACCAACTTATTTTTTAAGTATATCATGATAGTATTTTTTAAATTACCTTGAAATTGAGTGTTCAATGGATCTATAAAATAATACTTTTTCAATTTCCTTTCAACATACATCTCATGTAGGACCCTAATTAAATGCCAATGCAAATTTCAAAACTTTATGTTAAAGTATGAGAACAATGAATATAAGTTTAAATCACCATAAAGACTTATACTTACGAGCACCACAGTTGTATTACAGGTATGTCTAGCCAGTCATCTTCCTTCAAAAATTCCACAACACAACTTTTATGAAGCTTATATTTTTTGCTTGTTCATGTTTTAATTTAAATATGAAGATGTTTGGAATCTTGTCTAACATACTAGATAGTCTCTGAGTGTTATCTAGTTGAAGTAGTATGGTCTCAATATTATGAACAGAGACAAAATAATTATCTTTCATTCTTGCACATCCCATAACAACTTTCTCAAGCATGTCCAATTGATGTTTATCATATCCTTCACAAGAAAATCTATGTGGGTAAATATTTCTAGCTCTATTCTCCTTTCCTTTTTGACTCTTAGAAAATAATTCAGGAGTGGTGCAAAACTTTACAAAATCCTCCCAAACTTCTTTATCAATAAATGAATACTTCACGTATGGAGACTCTACGTTATCTTTTGTTTTTTATAATGTATTCATTTTTGAGTCGTATCTTAAAGCCTCTCAAATGCTCACCAACATATGCAATCCATTTCTTTTTCTATATACTTTCGTCTGGAACAATAAACACTTCTAAAATTTACATCATTAATAGAGTTGATATTAGTATTAAACCAAAAAATAAATGGTCACATATACTTGTAAAACAAATCAAAAATAATAATAAATATTGTAACATCGATCCATATGTTATCTTTCAAATCACTGTCAACCTCGTGTCAATTATCTATCAAAATACTCACTTTGCTTCTACCTTGTAATGCATTGTATGCCTTAAAATCATCATTATTTTCACTATAAGCCTTTTTAGTTCTCAGATCAAAATTAATCGGGGAGCAAGCACTATTTTCGCGTGGGCTTTTTAAACCTTGGTACACATTGTGGCACCTATAACTTTTCTTTTACTTTTTATATTAACAGAGGTTGCAGTAGAAGTTGTGTAACGCCTGATTTCCCATTTTTGTTGAGTCTTTTATTTTATTTGGATGATTATTATTTTATTTGTGGAATTTTTGTGTTAATATGTTATGTTTGCATATTTTGTGATTTGATCATTTCTGAGAGTTTTCGGGGAAATTAGATTGGAGAGTATTTTAGATGTTTCTTAATTAATGTTAAGTTGAATATTTTATGAGGAAATGAATTAGTAGATATTTTGAGAGAAAATGATAGAAAGAATTATAGTGGAAAGTTATAAAAGAGAAAGAAGAGAGAAAAGAAAAGAATAGAAAGAAAAGAAGAAAAGGAGAGAAAGAAAGAGGAAGAAGAGAAAAGAGGAGAAAAAGAGGGAAAAGCTTGGATTCATCAAAAATAACTTCTAGCTTTCGATTTAATTGGATAAGGGTGTGAAATCTTATTATCTTATCAATGTGTATGATTATGTATGTGTTGTTTGGATTGTTTGGTGGTTTTTCTCCCATTTTTTCCATTTTAGGTCGAATGGATGTAATCAATAGAAACCGATGTTTGCACGGTTAGATTTCGGAATAAATGGTGTAGTTTAGTCGAGGAATGTTAGGCTAAGACTGTTGGAACTGGTTTGGTTAAAATCAGGTGATTTGTGAACATGTGATGATTTTTGGACAGTTGGAGTTTTAAGTCACGACGTATTCGCTAGGCGAGTAGCTAGCGAGTGTGGTAGCGAGTTGTTCGCTAAGCGAGCATCCAACGAGGTGCCAGCGAACATTCCCAGACTTGGACAGAACCAAAATGACCCTTGTTCACTCTGGCGAGGGAAGTCGCAAGGTGTTCGTTAGGCGAGTGGCGAGCGAGCATGCAACGAACACTTCCAGTAGCTGATTTCAGACTTCGCTAGCAGGTTCGCTAGGAGAGCCAGTAGCGAGTGGTTTGCTAATGACCTCGCTAGGAGAATGGGCCAGCGAGCGTGACAGAACAACTTTATTCTTTTGTTTCCATTCAATGTCGAATTTTCGCTTGGATGTGATCCATATTTATCTGAAACGTGTGGTTTGAGTGCAGTTATATGATATGTTGCGAGTAGCCATATGGCGTGAATCCTAGATTGTGAATTGTGGCCTTTTGGCAATTAGATGCATAGTTTAAACTAAACGTAAATGCATGATGAGATTGATGTGAATGTTTATACATCGTGTATGATGTATGAGATGAATGCATAGAAATATATTTGTGAATATGTATGCATTTCAAGA